CATTTACATTTGGGCTGGTCATGTGATATTCCTCTACACAAATGTCCTCCAAGTGATTTGGTACAGCTTCACGGGTCTTCACTAGAACAAGGTAAGAGGTGTATCTGCAAGACACTCCGACGCTCAAGTCAGAAGATTTGATTCAAGTAAATTTGTTATGTAGAAGGAGATATGTACCTTTGAGTTAACATATATGTATTTATAGTGGAGAGATGAGCAACTTGAGAGATGCCTTTGTTCATGGTGAAGGCAACCATCTCTCTTCATTGGTTCTTGTGGGTGGCTTGGAGATAATGGCTGCAAAGTTGCTTGGCAGTGAAGTTGCAGAAGGAACTTGAGATAAGCTTTTGCCTTGGAGAAGAGGTAGCAGGCTAGCAACCTTTGTTGACCAAAACTTTGCTTAATGGAGAAGACTTTGAAAGTGGACCTCATATTGATATGGGCTTTGTATTTATATTATATTTATCCAGATCAATTATATTGAGTAGGATAATATGTTTATATTCGATCATGCATATCCTACATACATCTTATTAATATCGTTAGATCAAAATCTTAAGATGAGAGATAAATGATAAAAGTCAGTTGAATTTATGATCTAGCGGTGTTGGAAAAAAGTAAGTAAAGTAGGTATGAAAAAAAATACACATAATATCTTATCCCTCATTATAATATACATATATTATATATATTATATATATATATTGATATAAAATTAATGGGTTAAGATCATTTTTACACCAGTGTAAGTTACACTCTTAATCTTGTCCGTTAATCTCACTTATATCTAAGGGCTCAAATTTTTTAGTAATGTGAGCCATGAGATATAAGTGAATCAATGGTCAAGATTGAGTGTAAGACTTTTAACTCTTACACCGGTGTAAGAATATCTTGCCCCAAAATTAATACATATATCAATATATATTAATTTCTGTATGTATGAATATTATTAATGATAGTGGATCTTAAAAAATCGTGGTCACATGAATGGATGAATAATGATGAGAAGTGTTTGCTATAAACTGAAATGAATATTAGCTTAATTAGATTACAGTTTCCAGATCCGCTACATCTTGAACCAAAATATATAATTAAAGCAGAGAGTAAAGCGAACAAAAACTCACTTTATAAATTCTTTGGCTGAAATGCTTGTTTATGTGCATTGAATAATTCATGATGATTTATTTGAAAATGTATACGTTGCTGATATGAATGTTTGAGAGTCTCACCTCCTCACCCAAAAAACTAACTTATAAAGTAGGAAAATCCAAAATCTATATAAATCGCACACTCACTAAAATTTGATGTTTTTGATATAGAACTTTTTGTGTGTGTGTGGAGAATTTTGATATAGAACTCTGAATCTTATACCTTGCAACTTCATTGTAAGAGATGCGCAACGTATAATAATGAACATCATCCTTGCAAGTTGCAAGTATATTCTATTATTCATCTCAGTTAAAAATTAAAAAAATAATTTTAATATTAACGCAACTATACCAAACATCATATGAGAATTGCAATTATTTGACTCCATGCTTTCAAAGATTTTTGGTGAAAGCATGTTACATGTACATATGGTAAAAGCCTCAAGATTAATCACTGGGTAAAGAAAAAAATAAAAAATAAAAAATAAAATCCTACACAGGCGGTGGTTCTAAGTACAGAATTTAAGAATTAGCTGGCATTTAGAAACTTCTAATTAATAAAAAATAAGAATTAGCTGGCATTTAGAAACTTCTAATTAATAAAAAAATAATCTCTTAATTAACAGTAACTTCTCTTCAGTCATTTTTTCAGTTGAAGAACAGTGAAAGGACAACATACGGGTACAAAATATTTTATTCCTTGTTTTCTGGTTAAAAAACTCGAAAAAGAAAGCAATAGAAAATAAAAATAAAAAAGTTGCTTGAATATTAGGCTAAGGTCGAGGTCAACTTATAAAAATTTATAATCGAAAGTTGATGTAGATAAAGCAACTAGAATTGATATAGCGTGATGAGATATTTGAATAATTTAGGTAAGTTTATAGGTTCAAATCTTAATGCCATTATTATATTAAAAAAAATATTCTTCTTATTTTTTTTCAATATAATAATAAAAAAAGCTATTTAATAATGGATATTTGAATAATCGTTATGTTTAAACTAATATTGGATCTCTGTTATGTCTCTTCTTAAATTTAATACAGGCTTGCTTAATATTCTCTTATGACTGGAACATTGTAGTTATTTAATTTTTGTCGGTTAGAACAGAATAGCTGGTGCAAGTTAATGCCCAAGGTCAATACATTAGTCAATTATATAGAATTTATTAATGGAAAGTTTCTAGGGCCCGGTAAGAAGGAAAAAAAGCACAATAAGATGATTAGTAATTACTTAAAGGAAAATATTCTCATGTTGTAAGAGACTATTATCTTATGTCATAGACACTTCGATAAATGTGCTGTTATTTTTTTTCTTTTCTCTTTTTTAGTGGTGGGTCTCATCATTTTGTGTCTTAGCATAAGATATGCTCTCTCCTACAACAAAAGAGTAGACAAACTCTTACTTAAAATGCTTATCTTCTTTTCACTCTATCCCAATCTTTTTTAAATTGCACATTCCCATAACAATTTTATAATATTATTTGCACATTAAAATTTCACACCATGTTAGTTTATGCCAGTTAGGGTGTTAATGGGCCGAGTAAGCTAGACTTTGATCTTAAAATGTTAAGTCTGTGATTAAATGTTTCAGATTGGCTTAGCCTGTAATTTTTTATGAATATAATTCTCGGCATGTGGACTGACTTATTTACAAAAAAAAAGTCTGGTTTAGCCTTTTAAAAAAAATAAGATAACAAAAAATTATCCAAACAGAATATACGGTCAACAACACTAATAATTCCACAAAGATTCATAAATTTAATATATATCCAAACAAAATAACATAGAACAAAATCATTCAAAAAATATGTTTAACCAATAAACTAAAGCAGGGTGTAGCAGTTCGTGAGGCGCGATTGCTATCTCAAATACAAACATGGATTGGAAAAGAATGGGACGTTTGCATTCAACTTACCTTTAGAGAAGGAAATATGCGTGCAGACTAATTGGCGAACTACTTGTTAAACTCATCGGAGCAGGCTGATCAGATTTTCTTTGAGAGGTCTTCAGGTGAAATTTTTCTGTCATTTATGGCGGACCTTGCATCCGTGGGGAGAGAGCGTCTGGTGCTTCCTTGTTAGTTTTCTGTTCTAGTTTTTTTCTTTGCGTGCTAGGGCTTAATGCCCTTTTGTTTATTAAAAGAAAAAAGTAGTATAAAATTCTACATATCCGAACGAACAAAAGTCTGTAAATTTTGCATAAACAATTTAATATACTCATATCAACAATTTAATATATTATGATGTTGCCTTCTCCTGCATAAAAAAAAATATACAAGTCAAATTATTTTTGACACTCAATTATAATATCATAAGATATAAAACAACACTGCGTATGGAACGGGGGGACAACATTCTATAGCACCTAGCAATTTTCTAGAAGAAGATCAGTTAAGGTTCACCAACTAACCAACCTTCTCCTTCAGTGAGCCTTTCCCCTCTGTTGCGGTTGTTTCTAGGTGGCTAATCTATAAATCCAATATAGATTAGTTTGGACTCCAACAACCTAACAGTGGTTATGTTGGTCTGGTGTGGACTACGGTGGTGTAGAGGAGACAAAGAGAGGAGATGATGGACAACGAAGAGGAAGTGAAAATTATATGTTGGGTTTAATGAATGAGTAGTATAAAAAGTATAACATAAAAATAAGAATTAGTATACCAAGTCAGCCCGATTGGCTCTAAGGCCAGACTTTTGAATTGGAACCATGGACCTTTGTATGAAATGAATTTTTACACAAGTCCGAGTCTGTATCTAACAACCAAAACAGATGAAATAGATCACCAGACCTACACAGACCAAGACAAATGCCCTTGACTCTTTTAACACCCCTAATGCTAGTTAAAAATGTCTTAATTATAACCTCCAAGGGTAGCTCAGTTGGCAACTGAGCTCCCAAGGGTTTACTTGAGTCAGGGGTTCAAACCCTGCCTCAAGCAAATTCTTGGAAAATCTTTGGGCGCCAGAGAAAGTGCCTCTCTCTTCGAATGGAGGTTTAGTCTCATCCTTCCTCCAGGTAGCGAAGCTCAATGCACCCGCTGTTCCAATGAGGGGCTAGCCCAATGGGCCGTACCCCGAGGGCAAGGTGACCGGAGGAGGTTGAATGTGAATACCTCCAAGTTATACTAGAAAAAAAAATGTCTTAATTATTGATTAACTGGGTGTATAAATATCACTTAAGGGATTTCTAACTTTTGTAACAACTTTACCGGCTTTTTAATAACAGATTATTAATGATCATATCTTGTACCAATAATTAAGAAATCGCTAACCCATGTAAAAAGGGTATAAAATATTTCACGTGGAGAAATCATTAATTTTTGTAATTAATATATAGAGATATACGAATTGAGTAGACAAATTTAAGAGTGTACGTAGTGCTGATGAACCCATTCACATGAGGAATGAAATCAGCATGCTGATGAGATCTCCATTCACAACGTTGCGTCTTTATCTTGAATTGTCTCCCGCATTCGACACGCTAAATTTAATTTAAACATTTTTGTTCGGAAGGATATATTTACAATTTTTTTAATTTATAAATTTTTACAACCAAAATTTAATCATTGATTTTTATCAATCTGACAATTATAATTTATTGAATTACACTTATTAATTAATTTTTAATTTTTAATAAATTATAATCTTTGTATTGACAAAAATCATTGATTTAAATTTGATTATAAGAGTTTGTAATTGAAAAAAAGTTGTAAATATAACAATTCCATTTCTTTTGTCAAAAGAATAAAAAAAGTTGCAAAATGACATTCTGACTAGGAATTCACCATATAATATATATATAAATTAAAACTCATACAGGATACATATCTTGCACTAAGTCGTAGATCCATTGAAGACGTTACGATGAGAGAAAACCAGCTGGTTCAGTGCTCTGTACCTTTGTCACCGATTACTTTCTTAGCACGAGCAGCCACTGACTATGGTGATAAGGTATCCATCATCTACAATGATCATGTGAGATTTTCTTGGAGAGAAACACATGAAAGATGCGTCAAGCTTGCTTCTTCTTTGTTCAACTTAGGGATTTCTCACGGCGACATTGTAAGTTTATTTATCTTCCAATCTGCTCATATATATATATATATATATATATATATGTGTGTGTTAAGAACCTTGAGGTCACCACCCAAAAGTTAGCTCAAGGGGTGGGAGTGCCCAAGGCCTTATAAAGGCCATATTAGTTGTCCATCCAATCAATGTGAGACTATATATCTCAACACGTCCCCTTACGCAAGAGCCCTTTAGGCTAGAAGCGTGGAAATTGCACAGGCCCATTTTTGGTTTACCTTTTTGTGTTTTTTATTTTTATTTTAATTTCACTTTTTAAAGCGGGGGACGCTGAGGCTCTGATACCATGTTAACCTTGAGATACACCACCCTAAAAGCTAGCTCAAGGGGTGGGAGTGTCCAAGGCCTTATAAAGGCCATATTAGTTGTCCATCCAATCAATGTGGGACTATATATCTCAAGATAATATAGAACGAAATTGGAGTTTAAGGATTATAGGTAGGCGCCACAATTCGAAAGAATTGATAAGCCCAAGAACGTCACAAGGATTGATGCCCTTGATAAGTTCAGAGATTCTCAAAAGAACCCAAGAGAACTAGTCTCACCAAAATAGGTTAACTTGATATTCACAGATATATATATTCTAGCTTTTGCTCTGCATTTTTTGAAATAAAATGAATATAATGCAAACCCTTCTCTGAGTTTCTTTCCCCCCGAAGGTAGCTTTAATTACTTGGTTTATATATGCCTTACAGAGTTACAACTTACAGGTTTTCCTTATATCTGTGCTATTCTCTATGCATAGCGAATTGCATGTATAGAATTTATTAAACTTGAAAATATGACCGCAGCCTAGTTTCATAGAGTTTTATATATATATATATATATATATATATATACACTAGGGCTTAGGGTTAGGGAAAAGAATCAAGCTCCATCTTTTAGAAACTCATTCCTAGCTACACTTTGGATTCACGTACCAGGGCAAAGCTTGAATATTTTCAATACGGGAGGGGTTATATTTACAACTCAAATAGTTTATAAATTCTTACAATCATATCTTAACCGTTAATTTTCGCCAATCAACGATTGTCATTTATTGTGAATTAATAATTAATCTTAACCGTTAATTGACAGAAATGAACGGTTAAGATATGATCGTAAGAAGTTGTAAATGAAAATAGGTTGTAAGTATAACCTTCCCCTTTCAATATATATATATCAAGAAAATCGATTTAGCCTCTATAATTTAAAATAATATATTTTTTCAATTTTCAAATATTGTAAAATAGTCTTTATTAATTAAGCTTGTTCCTTATTTAGAGTAAAATTGTAAAAACAATAAGAGTTAATTATTTTATGCTGTTTGAAAATTATAAGAAATTTGTTAAGGGATTTTGAATGGTAAAAAATAAACTGAAATTGTGAAATGATATCATTAAATAAGTAATAATGTAACATATATATCGGGGTAAATGTTTTTACCGTTATTACCCAATCAATATGAAATGTACTATTCAACCATTTTCTTGGCAAAATAGATGTTTGAATTGGGAGTGGCTTGGTTTAATCCTTTTTGTCATTTGGGTCCTGTTAACAAATTTTATTTGATAAGAAATTTTAAAGTATTTTTTTAATAAAAAGTATAATATTTAATGTATTATGAATTTAAAAAAATCCTTTAATTCTATTTTTAAAATCTCTAAAGAACACTTGATTTGTCATTTTAATCAGAATTAATCTCTAAGCGCTTGGACCATATACACGTTTTTTTTTTTTTTTTTGATAACACCATATACACGCTTTGTTTCATGCATGTTTGTACAAAATTTCCAAATACTTCGCTGTCCTTGAGTGGAATAAATCTTTGGTGTTACTGTAGCACTAAGATTCAGTGCATCTCATAATTATAAAACTAAAAGAGATAATGAAACTTTATATATTTAATATGTTTAAAATTTTTACACAAGTCTTCATTTTATAATACGTTTTAGTGTAACAAATTTTAGTTTCATTTTTAACTGTTTGCATAATTGCATCTCTTACTACGGAAATATTTTAGATGCATTTTCTATAACTTTCTAGCAACCCTTAAATGGCTGAATAAAAATAAAGATTTTTCAAAGACTTTAGAGTAGACCGTTGACTCTCCATTAATCTAACAACGTGCTTGATTGGCGTGAATTTTGGTATGGACGAGGCCTCACTCAGGGAATAAATCTTTGGTATTACTGTATCACCAAAGATTCAGTACATCCCACCAATAGGAGCATTACATATCAGAGGAGAGAAAAAAAATTTGACAGAAAAAAAGGAACTTTTGCTAATATGTAATATTCCTATTGGTGAAATATACTGAATCTTTAGTAATACAGTAGCACCAAAGATTTATTCCCTTGAGTGAGGCCTCGTCCATACCAAAATTCACGCCAATCAAGCACGTTGTTAGATTAATGGAGAGTCAACGGTCTACTCTAAAGTCTTTGAAAAATCTTTATTTTTATTCAGCCATTTAAGGGTTGCTAGAAAGTTATAGAAAATGCATCTAAAATATTTCCGTAGTAAGAGATGCAATTATGCAAACAGTTAAAAATGAAACTAAAATTTGTTACACTAAAACGTATTATAAAATGAAGACTTGTGTAAAATTTTTAAACATATTAAATTATAAAGTTTCATTATCTCTTTTAGTTTTATAATTATGTTATTCCTAAATATAATTATTATAATTACTCTTATCTTATATATTCAAGATTCAATTAAACTATATATTTATAATAATGTATCTGTTTTAGGATAGGGTTATTGGAAAAAATTTATTTACTTACACTTTCTCCTAATTTTAAAACTTTGTTTCTTTGAAATGAACTTCACTAATTTATTTATTTGAAAATTTTAATTTTTTTTATAATTATACTTATTTAACTATTTATAAATTTAAATTTAAAATATATTTATAGTTTATTAATTATGATTTTTTTATCCTGAATTAAGAATGAAACAATCGTCTGTCCCCCTAAACTTTTTATTACTATTTATATTTTATTATGTATTCATGCTTTATAAATTTTATAGTTGTTCTATTATTATTTTTTATTCTTATTATCAATTTTAAAAAAATCTGAAAAATAACTTAAAAATAAAAAATGAAATATGAATTATAAGATAAAATTATCAGTTATATTAATTAAATCACTGAGGAAATAAGTAGACATCGAAATATATAACTACATAAAAATTGATATTAGTGATTTTTCAAATGTAACAAAAATTCATTTTAAGGTTTTGAATTATATTAATAATTTTTTTTATAACAATCAATTAAATTTTTGAAAATTATTTTTTAATATTAGATTCATATGTTTCAAAAGTCAAACAAAAAATGTATTTTTCATACAAAACATTGAATATAATTTTGACATTAAAACTAATAAGATTTAAAATATAAGATTATCAAAAGTATACTTTTGTTGTTTCATTTAAATGTAATTTTATGAAAGTAGTTCATCAAGACATTTGAAATGAATATTATTTGTCAACGTAAAATATAATTTTTTAACTTAAATAAAATTAATTTACAAAATGAATATAAATAGAAAAGGAAAAATATTGATATTATGAATATATTTTATATTCATCAAGATTAGTTGATAAATAAATAAATATTAGAGATTTAAATGATTTATAATTAAGTATAAGGAATAATGTTTACCACAAAAAAAAAAGTATAAGGAATAACAAGTTCGTTTGACTTATTTAAGAGACAAATCAACAAAAATTATTTTAGGTAATTAAAATTTTAAATAAATATATGTATAAAAAAAAATAAAAACATCAATAGTTCCATCCTTTATTTAAACCATGGAGGTTTATTTGTTGGGTAGATCATTCATATGCTCATCTCAGTGTTTTCCGCTCAAAAGTAGAACAAAAAAAATATTTGTGTGTTCGTTCAAACCAATAAAAGTCAAATACATATGTTTATCAAAAAAAAAAAGTCAAGTACATATTTCTCTGCACATGTCATCGTATTACATAATTTTATACTATGTAATTAAAAGAGAATGATCTATTTACAAACTTTTTTTGAAATTTGTTTACAAATTACATTATGTTCTCCCAGGAGAACATAGTGTAATCAGTGTTCTTCCGAAAGAATATAGTGTAGTTTGTAAGAGTTTGTAAATAAAAAAGTTTGTAAATATAACCTGCTCCGTAATTAAATTATAGTAAAATTTTATAAAACATTTATTATGTTTTATATATATAAAAAAAAAAATATGAGTTGTGCCAGACTGACTGTACCTTAAAATATTCCAAGACAATGAAGATATGACTTGGCCTTTTCGGATCCGATCGAAGTAAGTAAATATAATTTAAACCAACTTTTACCAGGTGAGTCAATGAAAAATTTGATTAAAATATAGGGCACATTTGTCGGTAGGGTCCGAAACATATGGTCTTATAAAAAGAAACCTGGTTATGGCTGATAAAGATATGTTTGCGATAAACCAATAATCTAATCTAATAGTATGATCAAACAAGCATTTTATATATATTACAGGGTTTGGTTAGTGTCTTAGTTTTACAAGTAAATGTTTTGATAATCGTAGGTTAACTAAGTCTGATGACATTATTAGCATGCTTCTAATTTTTAATCACTAATGCTGACTTCTTATTGTCTCTATATTACAACCACTATGCCTCTATGTGATATTATTAGCATCTTTATAGTTATAGCTAGGGTGATATTAGGTCCCAAACTACCAAGAAGCTTTTGTCGTTTTACTTCCCCTTAATTCACCACCTCCACTATTGTTAAGTGCTAGCCCTATAACGACAATAATAACTATTAACAATTATTTCTTGTTACCCAACTACTATTGTAATTATTATTTTCACAATAATTAAAAATTCTCTTTAATAATTTTTTCTACTAACCATTTTTCCACCTCCCAACTATTTTAGTTTAATCATATATTTATTAAATTTTAAAATTGTTATTAAAATAATATTTTTATATCATCAAATAA